CCGCTGTCTCCATCACAACCGTTGTGGGAGCTACTCATATAGAACCTTCTCCTGAAATGCAATAGGACAAAGTGTATAGAAGACTGGACTGTTAGCTAAGTTGTGTAAGTAAACGAACGTACGCTCCGATACGCTCCGTACGCAGTGGTGGCGCCATGATTTGTCATACGGGGACTCCGTGTCCCCTCGGGCGATATCCCTGATGAGAGCTTGAATGTGCGTGGTTGGGCGTTACTCAAAAATATTTGGAAGGAGTCCGGGGGATTCTACACAAGTCATGCCAATTCAATGATTTCAAGAGGTTCTTTAAATGTCTGCTCTCGTCTGTCCGTCCGTCCGTACGCAAGTATGAGAGGGCGCCCGCTGACACCTGAATGTTTTTATTCACACAGGTGAACCACCATTGTTTGTTTGGTTTCGTTCCTTTTCGTCAGACAATCAATCCATAGTGCAAATGCATTTTCACTTCATAACAAAGTTACAGTAATAATAATAATAACATACGAATGACATAATAATAATAATAATAATACGAATGGAGTTATTTTTCAATAAAGTGACAGCATGCCCTCATCTGGTTTATTTTTACCAACCAACGTATTGCTACGGGTGCATTTCCAGTGGTGTCACGCTCGGGCGCTGACGGTGGTTGGGGGGGGGGGGGGAGCAACAGAGCCCTGAAGTACGAGGGGCCTCGACGTTGTAGCTTAAAAAAATAATATAAACTATAATACATAATTTAATTCAATTGGGAAATACACTGGCCTGGCATCATTATACAAAACCGCATTTATCTCGGGGCTCATTTAAACGATCGCTGCAGTGTTTTATTTATGTTGCGGTTTTTTGTCTCGCGAACCACACTTGATCGTTGTCGCGCGTGACAAAAGCGTGGTGTCTTTTGATTTACCGACAGAGGTTTGGAAATGTTTCGGGCCGCCTGTCATTATTCCTAATCATGTTTTGTATGCATTGAGTACGCAGGCCTACTGTAAGCATATACCAATTCACATTAACGTGTTTACATCTTGCAAAAGACTAATAAGTTCCGAAAGTTGGCCTATGTAATCTATGTTGGTTTTGTCATCAACTTGTCTTAAATATTTCATCAGTCATGGACATTTCTATGTTCTTTGACAACGCAGTTAACAGTTCATTAATGCCCGCGGACTCCCACCAGGGCTTTCACCCCCAGGACCCCGATCGGGGGCCCTACGCGGCCCATGGCCCCCAGCATCTGTTCGCTCCGTTTGCAAACTTAACGTTCGCTTATTAGGGCCCCAAATAACAGTCACCACCAGGGCCACACAAACTCCGTGACGCCATTGTGCATTTAACAACGACCTCCAGGTCGTAACTACTGGAATGACGTATTTTCGAACACGACTGTCTACCTTGCATTTCTGTACTCATTGAATATGTATCCAGTTGTCAATTGCAGTGAAATTTGTATATGCAATTAGGATGTGACTTTAATTATCTGCATTCTAAATAACACTTATACTATTAATGCGAGATGATTAGTGGTACGACGACGACAACAGCTGAGTGACAACGGCAACGGATATAATGATGACAACGAATGGTAATGGTAATATATACGGTAGTGTATATATATATAATGATAAAGGTTATGATAATAATGATGATGATGGTGGTGGTGATGATGATGATTATGATGATGATGCTGATGAGGATGATGATGATACTAATGATAATAATTAATAGTTCTGCTCCATTCTGTAACTCTACTTACGAATGTTTTCCTGGTAAAGAAAACATGTTAGAGGGAGCGGTTTTAATGTCGTTCCACGGTGAACTTTCAATCTTATCCCTTGAGAACCATGACGTACTGGTCGTATCGACACCGTTGAAAGTAACCGACCCCACTTCTTCATTTGTAGGCGAGAATAAAGTCAGTTTTACCTGTAGCGAAGAGAAATTTCCAATATTGTTTTAAATATTGAGCTTGAAGGTGTTCCATATGTGAACGATAAACATTTCGTGACACAGTGGGATTATAGACGGTTTAGCACTAATTACACCACGAAGTTTAGATTTTCTCCATGATTATTTTACATGGATTCTCCATACAATCAGTACGTGCACGTGCGTTGAAAAGTGTTATGTTAAGAGTGCGCATATCCATCCGACGCGTTAATATTAGGCCTATATACTATATTATACATATACAGTGCATACAATATTATTACTAAAATATATACATTATATTATATATAATTATATAATGGTACATATAGGGCTATTATATAAATATATATATATATAATATATATAAAATATATATATA